TGTTATCCCTATTTTGAAACAGGGCAAGGACCCTTCCTCAGTTTCAAGTTATAGGCCCATTGCACTAACCAGATGCCTTTGTAAACTTTTTTAAAAAATGATAAACACCCGACTTTTACATTTCCTTGAAACACACAATCTGCTCGACCAATTTCAGTGTGGGTTTCGAGAGGGTAGATCCACCACCGACCATCTGGTGCGTATTGAGGCACAGATCCGAGACGCTTTCGTCCACAAACAATACTTCCTCTCAGTGTTTCTCGATATCCAGAAGGCCTACGACACAACATGGCGTTTTGGCATATTAAGAGACTTGTCTCACCTGGGTGTGTGCGGTAGAATGCTTTCCATAATCGAGAGTTACTTGTCCAATCGGAAATTCCGTGTCCGTGTGGGCAGTATTCTCTCGCAAACATTCGTGCAAGAAACGGGAGTACCGCAAGGTGGTGTACTTAGTTGTACACTTTTTATTATTAAAATGAATTCCTTGCATCTGTCCATCCCCCGCAACATGTTCTATTCCACATATGTCGATGACGTCCAGCTTGGCTTTAAGTCATGCAACCTAGCAATGTATGAGCGGCAGGTTCAGTTAGGTTTAAACAAGGTCTCCAAATGGGCAGAGGAAAACGGATTCCGGCTGAACCCAGGAAAAAGCACGTGTGTCTTGTTCTCCCAAAAGAGAGGCATGCACTCAGAACCCGACATTGAAATGAACGGCCAACGTCTGTCTGTGAATGCGGAGCATAAATTCCTAGGCTTAATCTTGGACAACAAGTTGACCTTTGTACCACACATAAAGTATTTAAAAACAAAATGTTTAAAAACCATGAATGTTATAAAAGTGTTGTCACGTACTACATGGGGTAGTGACAGGAAATGCCTCATGAACCTGTATAGAAGCCTCATTCGCACCCGCTTAGATTATGGGGCCATTGTTTATCAGTCTGCGACTCAAAGTGCTTTGAAGATGCTGGATCCTGTGTACCATTTGGGCATCCGCCTTTCTACGGGTGCTTTTCGCACCAGCCCCGTAGAAAGCCTTTACGTTGAGTCAAATGAGTGGTCGCTTCATCTGCAAAGAACTTACATGTCCTTTGTATATTTTCTTGAGGTGAAAGCAGACAAGAGGCACCCCTCATACTCTACTATTAATGATTTGTCGAGCTCCATTCTGTTTCAAAACAGGCCTTCAATGAGGCAGCCCTTCTCAGTTCACCTGAAGGGTCTAGCTGAGGACACTGGAGTGTCACTCGAACACAGTTTAATGGCTCCTGTAGCATACCTTCCACCGTGGTAGTGGCAGACTATAGATTGCGATGTGTCTTTCCTAGAAATTACTAAACATGCGCCTATTGCCCATAATCGAACATACTTCCTGGAACTTCAACACAAATACACACGTCCTGAGTTCTTTACAGATGCCTCTAAGTCTAACTCCTCTGTGTTCTACGCTGCTATTGGCCCTTCCTTTTCGGATTCCGGCCCTCTACATCCAGGCACAAGTATCTTCACAGCGGAAGCTTACGCGATACTTGTGGCAGCTAAACACATCAAACAATTACAAATACAAAAAGCAGTAATTTATACAGACTCCCTCAGTGTGGTAACGGCTCTGCACAGTCTTAAAAAACAAAAAAACCCTGTCCTCGTTTCACTTTACTCCATTTTTTGCACACTGTACACACTCAACCAACATGTTGTTGTGTGCTGGGTGCCAGGGCACCGTGAGATTCAAGGCAACATGATGGCGGATCAGCTTGCTGCATCCATCCATGAGAGCACCGCCATTACATCCATATCAATCCCGGCCCTTGATCTTAAGCCGTCTCTCAAACGAAAGCTCAGGGACTACTGGCAGAGCAAGTGGGATACACACACACAAAACAAACTACACGTTATCAAGCCACACCTTGGCCATTGGCCACCAGTATCAAAATCACGTCATACAGAGATAACATTAACGAGGCTCAGTATAGGACACACAAACACAACACACTCATATCTTTTGTCCGGTGGCGATCCACCATTGTGTGACAGATGTGGTGAAGCACTAACAGTTCTTCACATTTTAATTCAGTGCAAACAATTGGACACTCTAAGAAAACAACACTTTCCATCACCCTACCGACAACATATACCTTTACACCCTGCAATGTTCGTCGGTAGGGAACCGCTTTTTAGTCATAAATCATTGTTAGCGTTTTTAAAAGAAATTCATAGCTTTCATGTCATATACCCGGGCATTCCGTAGCACGACCTCTCCAGAGAGGTTTTCGCTGCGGTGGCTACACAATAAAGCACTTGCCTCACGGCCCTTGGACGCAAGGGTATGAAGGAGTGAGGCACTTGTGCTAATGCCATACATGTCCACCATCGTTTTTATTATCATTAACTTTTGTCATCTATTCGCACCACACACACCTTTCACGGCATGGTCATGATTTTATTAATTGTATGTCTTTACCCGCATTACCATAAGGAATTCTATGGCCCTTATACAGCCGCTAATCACAATCATTGTCCACATCTCTTGTCCCATGAGCTGGCGCTCTTTGGCCATGAAATGGCCGTTGCGCCAAAAAACACCATATATCATCATCATGCTTGTGCGACGTTGCTCTTTTTATGGGTTATAACTTGAGAAATAAGTGGAATTTCGAAGCAAAACTTTGCTGATAAGTGCGGAAGGGCATCGTGAATGCGAAAATGATGAGAGAGAAAATGCGATTTTTGGGCCGATTTTTATTCTAAGTGTCGCATCCCCCCTTAACATAGGCGGCCAGCTAAATTCATTTTTTTTCATTGTAATATCTTGAAAGCTTAGTCATGGTTTCTTCACTGTTGTGGCATATTGATAAGAAACTTCAGCTGGCTATGTGCTGCTTGCAACAATTCTGACGATTCCTCGTGCAAGAAAATATAGAAATAAACGTTGTCGCACTTTATACAGAAGTTCAGTTAAAGCCCCTCTCAGCCGCCACTGGCTGCCGGAACATTGCTTCGCATTTGCAATTTGTGTGAAATTCGTGTTCTGTAGTGACATGCATTGTTAGGCGTTGGATCAGATAAAGCTTCTTGACCAGATTGTCTGGAACAAATTCAGGACATATAACTGTCCTGACAGAAAATTGCGGGACTTGGGATTATGCATGAAAACTCCAGTGCTACAGTCCCGCAAAATCCAGGACATTTCGTAATCCTAGTCAGAAACTGTTATTCGTATCACAGGGCAACATTGACCTTTCGAAACTCAGTGAAGTTCTTTCTACTAAGTCTATCTGTTTTGCAAGCAACTTACAAAAAAACAACCGCTAGCAGCAGTGAAATGGGACGCAACGGCCACCATACACCACAGCGCTGACATGGCGCAAGTAGTTGGGGAAGGGGGAAAGGTTGAGGAGAGGAAAGGGTATTTCTGCAGCCCTAAATGTGAGCTCGTTTCAGTGTCTACATGGGAATAGGGAGAGAGAAGTAAACATAGGTGAAAGGGAGAGTGGCATCGATGAATGAGGACGCAGGGAACAGCTTCTACAAACGGACCCTAGTTTCCTTTCTTGAGTCTTGCACGTGAATGTATCGATAGATTTTATAGTTTTTTTTCTGCCAGTGGCTAGTTTGATGCCAATGTGCAGGCTGAGGTATAATTGCTCTTCGTCTTCTGTAACGTCCACCATTCCTGGTATGCACTGAGTCTGAGGGAGAACTGCTGGGCCATGTATTCACTGTGGACTGAGTTGTGGTTGCTATTGACAAATATAATTCATGCACATCTGAAGGCACGTAAATGGGCTACGCGCATTACTCTAAAACCAAATCTTTGTTCATCACAACTGCTGCAACAGGGGCATAGCCATAAATCGGAGTGGGGTATTGACTTCTTCTTATGTCTGTGCACGTGTTTGTATGTTTGCGTGCAAATATACAGATACAATATGCAAAAATTTCGGAGGGAGGGTGGTGGACTCCCCAAACCATCCCCATGGCTACAGCACTGTGTTATAGTCTCAGCCGCCCTTCCCTTTTGTTGTAGTTTCTCGGCAGTATTCGCGCATTCTGACCAAGTAGAAAACAAAGAGGCTTGTTGACTAAAGAAAGGTTTCTAACAGTGTAATTATGGATGCGACCAACTGTTCAATTCTGAAGGCGTGTGACCAATGCAGTCTCAGCTCACTGGTAAGCATAAATAGGTATTACTGAGTGTCTGTCCTGCTGCTCCCATAGAATTTCTCTGAAAACTACTGTACCACTTCGTTTTGGTTGGAGATTTTTTTTTTTGTTTGCATGCTAGTGCTGTTTTTGCTTTCTTGCGTTGATTTATGGGGCTTTACTCTCAACGTGCTTTGTCTATCATCCACATTCACTGATGTCAGTGGCAGATCCAAAAAGGGGCGGTAGGGGGGATTACCACCATAAAGTTTGTCAGCACCGCCCCTCCTCAATTCAGTGCTTGTAGTCCACCTTCTATAACCAATTAGGACGAATGAGTGAAACCACTGTGAGCACACATGACCAGTATTTATGCTATGAAGGGGTTTTTCTGCTAATAAAAAAAAGTCATGACCACGCCCCCTCTCTGGCGTTAGTTACCTCAGGGGACGGCCCCCCCTAAAATGAGTGGCTGGATCTGCTCTTGACTCTTGTGGAATCAAATATATTAATATAACTAAAGTTTGATGCAGATAAATAATAGAGATGTTTTCTGGAACTTGGTGACGAGTCCAAATTCAATATTTAAAATATTGAAAATCGAATTACTTTCACATGTTACCTAAAATGCAAAAGTAACCCTTGTTTTTTCCTCATGACTCACGATTCATTCTATGTAATTGTGCCATTGCAAAATAGTGTGCTCTAAAGTTGTAGCTGGTAAGCTTGCCTTAGTGGGATCTGTTCACATTTTGTTTAACCTTCTATTTGAGGCAAGTACACATGAAAAGTCAGTGTTGTGTTCCCAGGCTCTCTTGCTTTAAGAGCTGGTTTTCACACTCGAAATGCAGGTACTAGAAGAACTCCATCAAAATCTGAACAAGTGTGGCTCTCAGAGTGAGGCACCAGAGGAAGAAATGGTGACTAAGGACTCTTTCTGGATCTCCCGCTATCACGGTGACCAAAAATGGTACCGAGCTCGGATACTTGACGTGCTTCCGGGCCCCACTTCTGTAAGTATGTTTATTGTCTGTCGTGATGTGTCAGGAATACTAAAGAGAAGTATCTAGCTAAGCACTACAAGTCAATAGGTGACCAGTAAAAGTGCGAGGGATTGTGGGATGCAACGCCTGCTGCCGGCTTGGTTCGAGAAGAGTAGACGACGGCGAACCGCTCGTCCGTAAGCCTCAGAATATTTCGGATTTGCGCGTGGGGTTGCCCGTTCATCTTCTTGCTGCTAAACCATGGTCGGTTGTTCAGCTGTTGGCTGCTCTAACTCTAGCGTGAAAGGCAAATGCATGCATCCATTTCCATGGAACAAAGAAAAATGAGGTGGGCCGCGGCTGTGAAGAGAGCCACAGCGACAAGTAGCCCTTGGGTACTGACATTGGAGCAAGTGTGCGTGGAGACCATTTTATCACAAGTACGTGCGTATTCCGCACTGATAAAAAGCTTACGCATGAATTTTCTGCAAATATTGTATCGAGAAATAAATTGTCGTGCAGGCGCGCCTAGCAAATATATTATGCGAATGAGTGGGCGAAATCTACCTGCGATTTGAGATGAGCGCCGGCCATAGCAGCCGTATATATCAAAAAACGCAAAAGCTTTACTCAACAGTAAGTTTACACGAAGCGCTGGACGAGGTCGTTTGCGTTTAACTTGGTCAGGCTGTGCGCTAAGACGGCACACAAAGAAAGAAGTGCATTAAACAAGCGTAGGTTTTCGATTCTTCGGCGCCGTGTATGTCTGACTGTATGTACATTTGCTACCGTGCCGCGCAGTTTGACCAATATCAACATTCATATAAGCATCTGGCTTCAACTAAGAAAGAAATGCATCCTATAGCGTGCTGAAGGCTAGAAAAAAAAAAAGATCTCAACGCGCTCAATGAAGGCTGCGCTTCATGCTCATCGACTGACAATGTTGGCCGAAGCGGCTATCTCAAACTAAACTCTTAGCACACTCCTACACTCATTCCCATCCCCTGTGATCTTTCAAATGGTGATTTTTTATCTGCAGTATTGTATCACACAATGAAAACTGCTTTCTGTATCGAATAATCTGCTAGCCAAACTGGCAGTACCCTTGAGCAGCATAAAAGCATTGCAGATATTTTTGGGTGCGATAAAAAAGCTTTCTTGGCGTTCATGGCTGTCGTAGCTTGTCATCGAGGCTGTCACGGTTAGCAGAAATAAAAAAGTGAACTTCTAAAGCACGGACATTGCACGGAGAGGTGCTTTGATTTTTCAACGGAGTAGTACAAAAATGCGCGCGTGCTGTGGCCAACCCGCATGGTGCATCGAACCGGAAGCCATCGTATCCCACAGTTCCCTGCGATTGCCTATTTTACCAGTCACCTATTATACTTCTACCATTTCAGATGAGTCGGTCTTGCTGTAAGGCTTGCTAAACTAGTCTGGGTAAAAAAAAAAAACTTTTGTGGCAACATTTTCATGAAGTTGCTGTGCCGGCTTTTTGTAATGTAATGGATTCTATTAGCTACTCGACACATGAGCATCCTCTTCCAGCAACTTGAGATTCTAAATGACTTCAAAGGCCACTGTAGCAGATGACCCAGATAGCTATTGGTTCTTTTGGTCAGCTCGTGCTGTCTTGTGGCACTCGTAACCCTTTTTTTCTCTTGGCCTATCCAGTTGTGTGAGTAAATATTTTTGTGTGTGTTTGTAATTACAATGCACACGAATCTGCAAATAGACTGAAAACCTGTAAAATACAACTTTATTCCTAGACGAAAATAATTGTCCACATATCTGGACACTTATTAATGTGGACACAAGTTACCTAAGCCCATCATTTTTCATCGTACATAAGAAAATTGCTCGCTAACGCCTCCGATTCAATGCATCAGTCATTATCATCACTGCTTACCATAACCAACACCTTCATCATCAGTTCGACGTGTTCATCACTAATATCATCATCATTGTCACAACATTCATGGGGACGTTTGCTAATGGCTCAGCTTCAACAATTCCATTATTTTTGTTCATTATTGCCATCATTAATACTTTAATAATCTTGTTGAATCCACTCATCATCACCAACATTATTTCAAAGCCTACGGTATTTGTTTGCCCGCAGCTCTACTTCAACGTGCTTGTCATCTTTTTCGTCGTAGATCGTCATTACCAATGCTGAAATACATTCATGGTTTTGTTCGAATGGAGTGCTTTCACCATCACCAGCAGCATTGTTCAGGAGGCCTTTCCATGTTCATGGCTTTGCTTCAACGTGCTATTCATCGGTGCTTTCCAAACCGCAATGTTTGCATCCAGTAAAATTATGGCATGTATATATCTGCACACTTGAAGTTTGAGGACAACTGGCTGTGACAAGGTTTTCTGTATACTTGTTTGATTGTTTTCGCTGTGTTTCATGGTTTGACCCCAGTTGTTCACAGCGCCACGAGAGGTTGTTCAATCCTGGACCCTTTCGTTACGGCTGACCTATTGAATGATATTAAGTGTGAAGTTGTAAGTCTTTCATATCACAATGCAGTCTTTGTTAATTTTTCTGTTAACTGCGAACTTAAGAAACCAGAATACAAAGTTGTTACTGGTATCTCACGTGCCTACAAAAAAGGTGTTCTTTCCCTGTTAGCAGATTCCTATGACTACCTGCTTTCCAGTAACATATGTGGTGTGAACGCATTAGTGGAACACTTTATTTAGTGGTTCTGTCCTAATGTGTTATGGCTGTAAACAAATCACAGAAAAGAGCAGATGGATAACTAAATTTCTAATCAGTGGAGGATTATGAGCACACTGGCTTGCACAGCTACATCATTATGGCTCCACAGACACAGTCACCGGTCCTTCGCACACCGTCCCGCCAGTTCCTCTCGTCACGCAATTGCATATGCCTATCGCCAACTCGTTGCGCCCACAACCGAATATAAATCTGAATTAGCGCCAAACAAATTATGTCAAGCGCAGTCCTAAACACCCAAGGTACAACAAAGAAACTACAGCTTTTTCGTTGCGTACAGTGACTACATCGCCGATGCCGCTCCAAGCCAAATCGCGATTTTCATCTGTGTGGGATAAAACAACACTCAAAAATAATATGCATGAAGCCAGAGACTTCTATTGCAATAACACATTGTGAATGTTCAGTGTTCAGAAACACGTGCACACGGGATGTCACTAAAGCTAACATTTCAACCATTGGGCTTGTCTTTTTGAAGCAAAGCACCCCTCCCCATTATGCTTGTACTGTCACTGACCGCGCCTTTTCATACCACCTTATTTTGTATGAGTGTTATTTTTTAGAAGACTTTTTCTGAAGCAGACATGCCGTCATGGTGGCGTGTGCCCTAATGCAAGCCACTTAAGGGTCACACGTGTGTGTAGTGCCTTGTGAACTCGTTCGTGTTTTTCTTCACAATTTAAAATGTTATATCAAGAATAGATAGTCCAATGAAATAAGTGCTTCTAATAATGTATTCAAAATAATGAGTGTTACTAGCTGAATGCAAAAAAGGTTTTTATATATATTGAAGTTGAGGCTTAAGCTAAAGCAAAACTATCCAGAAATCTGGTCATACTTTGACTACACATGCGGAAAACTTGGGGTGTGATTGTTACAGTCTCCCATTCATTTTCGTCTAGCATAGCTTTGCATTATGCTGCTTCGCCAGAGGTGCCACCTTTGCATTAAATAGAGCTGGGATGTTCTTGTACCTTTCCACTCAGGCGCATTGATGTGGCCAGCCTTGGCTTGCCAGGAGTGTACAGTCCGTGAAGTATACTGTAGCGAGAGTAACAGGGTTGACATCTTGGGTAACACGATCAGCTAGGGATTGCTGATCTTCGCTAGGAGGCCAGTGGTGGCAGTGATGTTTTTGGCAAGGCATATGCACGGGCCCCGCAACACGGAGACGATATGCTTGGAGCTTCATGCATGCACAGTACAAGTAAAGCGACGTCTTGGGTAAGCAAGTTGCTTGGGTACCCAGCAATGAAACTACTACGTAATCGTACCTCTTCAACCAGGATATCTGCATCCAGCAATTAATTTCTCTCCTACATAACGGTAGTCGGGGCACTGCAGTGTCAGGCCTCTTTGTATGATGTCCTTTTAGCTCCCTGGGGTGTATCGAGGGGTCATCTGGATACTTGTGCATTAAGATGTGTAGATTATAGTCTTCATTGTGGTGGGCTCTGCAAGTGATCAAAAGTTTCACCACGGTTTTACTGTGCCTGATGTACCTCAGCTGGTTGCAGGACCCTTGCCATTTGATTGGACCAGTCTAATCAGCTTACATATACAGTTCATGTTCAGAGCCGAAGATTCATTGGTTTGAGTGGAAGAGTAACCCTAGGCTGCAATACAAGTTCATCACCGTGGCATCTGCACAGCTTTTACTTGTGATGTGTCAGCCTAGTTCATTACTAGCAATAACTGTGCACACCGCCACAATCGTTGCGTAAGCTGTCGGGCAGTACATCACAAGTGCAGCTGCCATTTTGAGGATCGCAGTACATTTTGAGTGAACCCCAAGCATTGCTTCGAACAGTGAAGATTAAGATCTGGGGCTCCAATCACAAGAAAAAAGTCTTTGATTAATTTTTGGCATTGAGCAACTCTTGCATGCTAGTCATCACTGTCATCTGGCATCAACAGATGGTGGCTTTTGTGGGACATTGTTTGGAAATTTATAATAAAGGACATCACACTACTAACTCCTCTGCATTGCATTTATCTCGCTAGGGTCTACATTAAGCCTACTTGCTTTGAAATAAATGAATTGAACAAATCAGGGTATTTAGTGAAGTTTAAGTTTTCCCACTTGATCAGCTGCAACCCAAATGCTCTTTCCAGAAATGTAACGCTTTAGCATGTGACAGGAGGTTAGGCCCATGTCACATGCAGCATCCTAACACTACATAGCAAAGCCTAAGTTTTCCCACTTGATCAGCTGCAACCCAAATGCTCTTTCCAGAAATGTAACGCTTTAGCATGTGACAGGAGGTTAGGCCCATGTCAC